GGGAAAGAGAGAAAAGAAGAGATAGGGAGAGGAGGAAAAGGAGAGAGAAAGACCAAACTAGAGAGAGAGAGAACACTAGCTCTCCCTGCTGGAATAATAGACTTGAAATATGAGGAAGTTGATCAACAGCTGATGCCTTCCAAAAACAGATTAATCCACTCTGGTAGCTTTCCTTTCATAGCAAGCTTTTGGCTCCATCAAGCTTTTCTATTAGCCTGGATACAAGGCTACAGGCTATCTGAGTTTTGTTATTTTGTATGTTAATTTAAGAACTTGAAATTTTAAAATATTTAATTCTGGCTTTGCTCTGTTTCGTTGCTGTCTCTGCATTTGCTGGCATCAAGACTATAGTCCTAGATTGGTCATTTAATGAATAATTCTCAAGAACAGAAACTATTCCAGGACACCATCCTATATCTACGGTGGTGGTTCTCAGCCAAGGGTGAGGTGGTGGTTCTCAGCCAAGGGTGACTTTGCCCTCCTCAAAATATCTGGCAATGTCTGGAGACATTTTGAGTTGTCACAGTAGGGGAAAGGTGGTACAATGGCATCTAGTGGGTAAAAGCCAGAGGTGTTGCCAAACACCCTAAAATGCACAAGATGACCTCAGTGGCCTCAACAAAAAATTACCTGGTTCCAAATGTGAACAGTGCCAACTGTTGAGAAACACTACTCTAAAGGACTCAGAGATCCTTCCTGGCACCCAAACCCTCTAGTAGTTCCCAAGAGCAGTCTGTAGGTAAGAAAAATCCAGAAGAGTACAACAAACTACTACAAGACAGTCAAAGCCAGTTTGTAAAACTGTAAACGCACAATCCTAACAAAATGAATTTTATAGACAAGTCTTTGCCACTCCTGGTAAAATTTCAACATGTACAAAAATAAAGAAGATCAATCAAAGTCCTACATTCATTTGTATTAACAAACCAGTGAAACATGTACTAAGGAATATTAGGTAAAATTGAGGCTACATTATTTCTATTTTTTAAGAATTATTTAATTTTATTTATTCTTTCATTTATTTTAATTTGACCAGAGAGAGACACAAAGAGAGAAAGTGAGAAAGCAAGCCACCAGGTCTGGGACTTGAATGGTGGTCAGCCATATAGAAGTGTCTAGTGCCTTAAGCACCATGCCATCTGCTGGTCCCAGACTATATTATTTCTTAAAATGAGGAACAAGTCTGAAGGTAGATGTGGGGGGAGAGAAAAGTGGTAATGATATAGTCATTGGTATTCATTCACAGTCACTAATATAACATGTATTAAGTTGAATAACTGGAAATTATCATTTTTTTTAACTGTTCAAGGTCTGCAAGAATGGCAGCTTTCTGTGATTCAACCTATATATTATATGTAATATATTATTATGTGTTAATACTATTAGAGGCCAGCAGGTGGCATGGTGGACTCCCATATGACCAACCATGGTTTGAGTCCGAGGCCTGATGGCTTGCTTTCTGACTTTCCCTTTCTTTCTCTTTCTCTCTGGTCAAATTAAAATAAAATAAAATAAAATATTCTTTAAAAAATACTATTATAGCACAACATATAGCATTATATATATTTTATCAATAGTACTGTATTAATACATTGACTGACTTAATAATTGCATAGTGTTATAAGCTATTATATATTAGTAATATCAGATTAAATGTATATTAATATTGATACATTATTGATTAGAGAGTTGAGAATTTTTGTGTGTGTGAATGGCAAAAGAAAAAATATTTTAGGCTCTGTGGGCCCTAGAGTCTTTGAGTTTCTGTCATGACCACTCATCTCAGCAGTGGTAGCTCAAAAGCAACCAACCATATATAATACTTAGACGAAAAAGTGAGGCTGCATTTATCAATAGTTTATGTATAGACATGGAAATGTCAAGTCCTTATATATCCATTTAAGGAAATAGTCTTTGGATTTGTTTTGCAACTATTTAAAACAGTACAAGTCATTCTTAGTTCCTGGGACAAACATATCGGTAGTGACCATATTGGGTTGGTTAGCTGGAGTTCCACAACCATGGGATTTTATCAGTACTTTACCTATGACCGTACACATACATATCAATGCTACGTACGCTGCACTATACCTTTCTATAGAGCATATGCCACAGTACACTACACAGTATCCGACCGCCCTCCTGGGCAGTAGGCTTCTGGAGAGTTCCTCTCCTCCTGGACGGAGAGCATTGTGGGTAGCCCCACTGCGCAGGCGGAAGGGGCATGGCCCCAGCCGCAACTCACGTGGTGTTCTCTTGCTCGCCCGCCTACAGCAGCTCCGGACCTGACCGCCTTCGGAGACCCACGCCAGTTCCCCGCGCTGCCCTCCATCTCGGACCCCCGCATGCACTACCCTGGCGCCTTCACCTACTCCCCGACGCCGGTCACGTCTGGCATCGGCATCGGCATGTCGGCCATGAGCTCGGCCACGCGCTACCACACGTACCTGCCGCCACCCTACCCCGGCTCGTCGCAGGCACAAGGCGGCCCTTTCCAGGCCAGCTCGCCCTCCTACCACCTGTACTACGGCACCTCAGCCGGCTCCTACCAGTTCTCGATGGTGGGCGG